TCACCGTACCCCACCCCCGACCACAGGGGAGAGAAAGTGTGGTCTGACATTTCACCTTTATCTCTGAGCATAAAAACTGATGAGCATGTGTACCAGACTTAGAAGATGAAATGGCCCCATTTTTATGTATAGAAATCCTCCTCCTATTCCTTTTTAACACAGCCCTTAATCTCTTGATGGTGAGGAAAGTAGTTTGAATGGTTGCTATTCTCCTGCAAAGTGTTGAATAGCTCTCTGCCTCGTTCATCTGAAACCTGGTCTCCCTCTGCTTGGTTCCATCCTTTTAGCAACAGGTGTCTGGTCAGCCTAATCATACTGCTACCTCTAGTCTTCCCAGTTGCCCACCCTGGAATAACTTCCCAATTCACTGCCTCTATGTTTTTAAAAAGCCTGGTCCCCTCAGGAGTACATTCTTGCTTGGGAAGTTGAAATGCATCTGTACTAACATTCATGAGTATCTTTATCTTATGAAATAGTATTTTCCAACTGGAGGATAGACCAGAATTCTTTTTACATGAAATAATTTATGTGAAAGCACTTTGGAAACATGAAAGTATTATGCTGTGCATGTAAGGTATCATGGATCTAGGCATTATGTAGCCACAAAGTTAGAATTATTGACATTACTGGTAGTTGTGTACACAAAATAAAAGAATCCTTTGTTGCCCTGGCTGGCGTGCTCAGTGGTTAGAGCGTCAGCCCTCGCACCTAAGGATCACAGGCTCTATTTCCACTCACACATTGATGTTTCTCTGTTTCTCCCCCGCTCCTCCCACTCTCTAAAAATCAATGAAGACGGCTGCTGTTGCTCAGTGGTTGGGCACTGACCCGTGAGCCAGGAGGTCACAGTTTGATTTCCAGTCAGGGCACATGCCAGGGTTTTGGATTCGATGCCAGTAGGGGGCGTGCAGGAAGCACCTGATCAATGATTTTCATCATTGATATTTCCCTCTCCCTGCCTCTCTCTGAAATCATTTTTTAAAAATCAATGGCAAAAATATCCTCGGGTGAGGATTAACAAACAAACAAACAAAAAGAATCTGTCTACTTCACATTTCTCCCCTTTTCTACCTTTCTTCTCGTCCCTTTCTTTCCCCCTCTCAGGTATGTTTGAATCTCTTAGACTTAGACCATGCATGTGATTCCTTAGCTAATGATCTTGCTCCTTAGAGGGGAGTCCTACATGTTTAGCACAGAAACCTTAATAGAGTTGTCTCACACTCCGCACTCAACCACCAGATCCAAGTCTGTCCAGTCTTACTGCCAAGTGGAGGTAGTTCCCCTGACTCACCTTTTTCTTCCTTGTTTCTATTAATAGAGTGCTCCCGATTGTGACATCACATCCATCCCCTTGGTGATGGAGCTTATCACTGAGAAGGAAGATTCAGTTGGAGAATAGCCAACAAGATGGGCTACTGGGAGCGTCTCCTGAGTGGCACTGAGTGGAGGCGTCAGGGGGTTGGAGCCTTGTGAACAGGGAGCCTGTCCCCCAACACTTGGAAGGTAAAGAGCCTTGACGTAGAGTCCCATTCCAGGCTTCAGCCTCTTCTCTGCCAGTCTGGGTTGCTTCTGCTTAAGGGGCCTTTTCCTTGTGTGTCTGGTTGTTTATAGTAATTGGGGCTGGAGGCTCCTCAGCCCTCTGCACATCTGTTGCATTCAGGGCAGAGAGAAAAATCGGCAGAAGGAAGCCTATAGCACACATACCTGGCTTTTACCCTCATGCTTTTGCCAAGAATTGGTGACAGCGTGCCCAGTCACCCTAAAATACTAATGTTTCTTATGTAATGTTTCTCTTGAGTGAGGGTGTGGATGTGTGTGTGTGTGTGAATGTGCGTGGTTTGCATACCTGTACATGGGTTCAAGAAACCCTGAATAAGGGAGGATAAATGTTCAAGTTTCTTTAGGAACAAACTTTCTTGAATTCCTAGCTCTCTCTGGGGGTAGACCAGAGAAAACAACTGCCGCAATAAGTTAAAAGGGTATAGGAAGGGGTCTCTTGTATTTTTATTATTAATGCTGACTAGGAAGAGAGAGAGGGAGAGAGAGAGATACCTCATGTAACAGTGAGGAAGGAAAGTAGCACAATTAACCTGGTTTGGTTCTGGCCTGCAGGATAGCAGATGGGAAATGCAGTTTTGTTTGTAATTGGGGCTGTTAATCCTCACCTGAGGATATTTTTCCATTGATTTTAAGAGAGCGTGAAAGGGAGGGGCGAGAGAGAAACATCGATGTGAGAGAGACACACTGATTGGTAGCCTCCCACACACACTCCGACCAGGGCCAGGGATTGAGCCTGCAGCTGAGGTACATCCCTTGACTGGAATGGAACCTTCAGTCCAACACTCTTTCCGCTGAGCCAAACTGGCTAGGGCAGGAATGCAGTTTTCAGTTTGGGTTTAGGATGTTCAAATCAGGGAGGCTGGGAGAACTACAGTCCTGAAGGGACACCTCAGCGCTACTTAAGTTCAGCTCTCCGAGTTCAGTGAAGCCTTTTCCTATTCCACAGCTCCAGGAGAACATCGAGGAAACTGCTTCCCATGGCTGTGGTTACTGGCTGTGACTCTTTTTTATAGCAAAGGTGGAGATTTATTGAAGAACGAGTACAGACTCACATGTGGGGAGAAGGAAAGAGTCCCACAGAATGGGCTCCCACACTGGGGAGGGGGAAAGGGTCCCCCTGGCTGTGACTCTTGAGGACGCTATGGTTTCAGTTTTATTAAGACTCCTGCCCCCAGGGCAGAGAGCAGTGAGTTCTTTTTTTAAAAAATATATTTTATTGATTTTTTACAGAGAGGAAGGGAGAGAGATAGAGAGCCAGAAACATCGATGAGAGAGAAACATCGATCAGCCGCCTCCTGCACATCTCCCACAGGGGATGTGCCCGCAACCCAGGTACATGCCCTTGACCGGAATCGAACCTGGGACCTTTCAGTCCGCAGGCCGACGCTCTATCCACTGAGCCAAACCGGTTTTGGCGAGCAGTGAGTGCTTGTGAGGCATCCCCCTGGAGGTGATATCCTGCCCCTTGGAGATGCCACAGCTGTGTTTCGAGTCCCAAAGAGTAGAAGGAAGTCACGGCATCTCAGCTATCAGCTTGACTGTCAGCCTAGGGCAGTGATGGTGAACCTTTTGAGCTCGGTGTGTCAGCATTTTGAAAAACCCTAACTTAACTCTGGGGCCGTGTCACATATAGAAATTTTTTGATATTTGCAACCATAGTAAAACAAAGACTTATATTTTTGATATTTATTTTACATATTTAAATGCCATTTAACAAAGAAAAAGCAACCAAAAAAATGAGTTCGCGTGTCACCTCTGACACACGTGTCATAGGTTCGCCATCACTGGCCTAGGGGCAGGGCAAGGAGCTAGCTTCCAAGGTTGTATAGATCCATGTCAACATCTGTTTCCCATAGATGATAAATAGGGAATACCCTCATCATATTGGAAATCTAAATGGCCCCTTAACGATTGAGGCTGTACCACTGAGAGAATGCATTTATAGGAGGGTAGATAAAACAGGTAAATATGCAGATAACGGGGGGGGGGGGGCGGCAGGGGAGTGTGTTTGATTTAGAAAGAACGGTGCCCAGCATCTCTGTAGTTCTGTAAACCCTGACTTTATGGTGAGAACCTTGCAGCCCCTCACCCTGGCCGGTGGCTTCCCACACCCTCTGGCCATCTCTGCACCAACTGAGGCAAGTTCTCCGCTGTTTATTTTGGGGATATGGGATCTCCTGAGGCCCCATTAAGATAGGTTTTTAGAATTTATATTCCTCCTTAAGACAATATTATCAGTATTGACTTAAAATGAAAAGTTCAGTGAAGCACAGTACAATCTCTAGGCCAATTTTCTACATAGCAAAGGTAATGTCATTTTAATTTTTACCCCTCGCTCTAAGGATAACAGATTTTTTTAAAAAATTAAACCTTGCAGAAATATATAACCTAGATTGAAAGTATAATCTCAGCATGTGTAATACGTACACTACATATATTTCTTTTTCTTTTTAAAATTGTTTTTGTAAAAATGGGGTCAAAGTATACATACTGTTTTTGCAACTTGCATTTTTCAGTTTGAGAGGCAGATCAGCAAAGTGGTTAAAAGCTTGGGCTCTAGAGCCAGTCTGCCTAGGTTTGAATCTGGCTGAACCACTTGCTAGCTGTATGATTTTGGACAAGTTGTTTTTGTTTTTTTAAATATATTTTATTGATTTTACAGAGAGGGAGGAAGAGGAATAGAGAGCTAGAAACATCGATGAGAGAGAAACATCCATCAGCTACCTCCTGCATGCCCCCTACTGGGGATTGAGTCCACAACCAAGGTATGTGCCCTTGACCAGAATTGAACTCAGGACCCTTCAGTCCTCGGGCCGATGACGCTTTATCCACTGAGCCAAACCGGTTAGGGCAAGTTTTTTTGTGTGTTTTTTGTTTAAGATTTTCCATTGATTTCCAGAAAGAAAGGAAGGAGAGGGAGAAAGAAACATTGATGTGAAAGTGAAACAGCGGCCAGGCTAGCGTGGCTCAGTTGGTTGAGCATTGTCCCATGCACCAAGAGGTCACTGGTTCATTTCCCGGTCAGGGCACATGCTGGGGTTGCAGGCTTGATCCCCAGGGTGGGGCACGTAGGAGGCAGCTGGTGGATGTTTCTCTCTCTCTCTCTTCCTTCCTCTCTCTATAAAAAAACAATAAAAACATATTTAAAAAACAAAAAAGAAAGCAAAACCTCCATTGGATACCTCCTACATGCCCCCCACCAGGTACCAAGCTGGCAACTTGGGCACGTGCCTGTGCCCTCTGGGAATCACAGCCTCTCGGCATGGGACAGCGCCCAATCAACTGAGCCACACTGGCCAGGACTAAACAAGTCTTTTAACCTTTGTGTTGTGCATCTGTTATTCATGTGTAAAATATGGGTAATGACAGTCTTTACCTCATAGAGTAACTCATATAATTGTACGAATTAGATGAATTAATATATAAGAAATGCTTACTGCCTGCTTCGTAAGCACATATACTAAAATTGGAACGATACAGAGAAGATTAGCATGGCCCCTGCATAAGGATAACAGGAAAATTCGTGCAGCGGTCCATATTTTTTAAAAAATGCTTAGAATAGAGCTTAGCATGTAATATTGCTCAATAAATGTTGACTTTATTATTTAATTGTATAAGCAAAACATGATCATTGTTGGAAAAGGAGAAACAAATCAAAACTAGGAATGAACTTCAAAGTATTAAAAGTCTACATTTAGAGACAGTTTCTCTAATATATGTCCTAGATCAGGGGTGTGACTCGAGGGCCACAATGGGTTCTTAAACTGGACCGGAGGGCCGGAACAAAAGCATGGATGGAGTGTTTGTGTGAACTAATATAAATTCAAAGTAAACATCATTACATATAAGGGTATGGTCTTTTTTTTCAATAGTTTTATTCATTTCAAACGGGCCGGATCCGGCCTGCGGGCCAGTTTACCCACGGCTGTCCTAGATGTTCTCCAATATTAGTATGCTAAATGTGTATACACATAAATATAAACATACTTTTTTTTATTGTTGACACTATTACAGATGTCCCCCATTTTCTCCCATTTTGCCCCCCCCCTCCATCCAGCCCCACCCCTAGGCCTTCACCACATTATTATTCTGTATCCATGGGCTATGCATATATGTCTTTAATTAATTTCTTCCAGTCCTCCTACAAACATACTTACAAAAATATATATATTGCCCTACCCAGTTTGGCTCAGTAGATAGAGCGTTACCCTGTGGACTAAAGGGTCCTGGGTTCGATTTCAGTCAAGGGCACTTACCTTGGTTGCAGGCTCCTCCCTGGCCTGGGCCCCGGTCAGGGCTTGTGCAGGAGGCAACCAATCAATGTATTTTTCTCACATTGATGTTTCTCTTTGTCTTTCCCTCTCTTCCATTCTTCCTAAAAATCAATGGAAAAATATCCACAGCAAGGATTAACAACGTGTGTGTGTGTGTGTGTGTGTGTGTGTGTGTGTGTGTGTGTGTTTGAAATTGATTTCAGAGAAGGAAGGGAGAGACAGAAACATCAATGATGAGAGAGAATCATTGATAGGCTGCCTCCTACATGCTCCCCACTAGGGATGGAGCCCACAACCTGGGCATGTGCCCCGACTGGGAATTGAATTGTAACCTGGTTCATATGTCAATGCTTAACCACTGAGCAGCACAAGCCGGGCTTTAACAAAAATGGCACTATAGCATATATGATATGCACAAATGTTAATTTATTTAGTATATAAATCATAAATATAGCAAGTAAATTAGGAATAAGAAGCAAATATAGCTAAGCCATTAATGCTACATGGTATCTCATTCTGGATATTTGTGTTGGGTTTTTTTGCCATTATAAGCAATGCTTAGAGATAAACAACCTGGTGTATGGTTTTTATACCCTTATGTAATTATTTCCTTAGGCCAAGTTCCTGGAAGAGGGAAAAGGTATATGCTTTTGGGGGGACCTCTCTCTCTAAAATCAATTTAAAAAAAAAAATAGCAGAGGCCCTGACTGGGTAGGTCAGTTGGTTAGAGCAACATCCCCATATGCTAAGATTTCTGGTCAGGGCACATACAAGAAACAACCAATGAATCTATAAATAAGTGGAACAACAAATCAGTGTTTCTCTCTTTCTAAAAAAAATCGATAAATTTAAAAAAAATAGAAGAAAAACATTATCCTTAGTTCTATATCCAAATAAACCACTGTTAACATTTTGATATTTCCTTCTGGTCTCTTTTTATGTGTGGATTATTTATAAATATATGACATGTTTTAGGGGGGAGTTTTTTTTAAGATTTAAAAATATATACATATTTTATTGATTTTTAACAGAGAGGAAGGGAGAGGGATAGAGAGTTAGAAACACCAATGAGAGAGAAACCTCTATCAGCTGCCTCCTGCACATCTCCTACTGGGGATGTGCCCGCAACCAAGGTACATGCCCTTGACCGGAATCGAACCTGGGACCTTCCAGTCCGCAGGCCGACGCTCTAATAGAGCCAAACCGGTTAGGGCAGGAGAGTTTTATTGGGTTTTTTTTGGAGGATATTTTTTCCGTTGATTTTTAGAGAGAGTGGAAAGGAGGGGGAGAGACACACAGAGAGAAACATCAATGTGAGAGAGAGAGACATCAGTTGGTTGCCTCCCACATGCTCCCCGACCAGGGCCAGGGATTGAACCTGCAACCGAGGTATGTGCCCTTGATCATAGTCGAACCTGAGACCGTTTAGTTTGAGGGCCGATGTTCTAACCACTGATCAACCTGTCTAGGGCATGATATGTTTTTAAACAGGTATGTGCTCAATTTTGTGTCCTACTTTTTCATCTATTATTATATCATGTTATAGCATATTCCCCAGAAATATCATTTAAAATAGATACATTATTCCATCAAATGGACTCATATTACCATAATCACTTAGCTATACCTTTATTGTTCATTAAAATGAATAAGTAATTATTTGATTTTTAAAAGTTTATTGGTATGATTTTTTAAAATATATTTTTTATTGATTTCAGAGAGGAAGGGAGAGGGAGAGAGAGAGATAGAAACATCAATGATGAGAGAGAATCATTGATTGCCTGCCTCCTGCAGGCCCCCCACTGGGGATTGAGCCTACAACCCAGGCATGTGCCCTTGTCCGGAATCGAACCTGGGACCCTTCAGTCTGCATGCCGACAATCTATCCACTAAGCCAAACCGGTTAGGGTGGTATGATTTTTTAAATATGTTTTTTTATATTGATTTTAGAGAAGAAGGAGGGAGATAGAAATATCAGTGAGAGAAACATTGATCAGCTGCCTCCTGCACACCCCCTCTGGGGATTGAACCCCTAACCTGGGCATGTGCCCTGACGAGGAATCGAACTGAGGATTTCTTGGTGCATGGGACGATGCTCAACCAACTGAGCCACACTGGCCGGGCCTGGTATGATATTTTTAAACCTATCTTGCCCTAGCTGGTTTTGGCCTGCAGACTGAAGGGTTCCAGGTTTGATTCTGGTCAAGGGCACGTGCTGGGGCTTTGGGCTTGATTCCTAGTAGGGGCCATGCAAGAGGCAGCCGATTAATGATTCTCTCTCATCATTGATGTTTCTATCTCTCCCCCTCCCTTCCTTTTTGAAATCAATAAAAATATTTTTTAAATAAATAAATAAAAATAAAACCTATCTGGGTCTCTTTTTGTACCATCTTCCTTCCTTCCTGCTTTAAAGGTGTCCCTCTTTTTATTTAACATAATCCAGATCACCTCCCACTTACCACTACCTCAGTGACCAGATTCTCTCTTGTAGTTATCTTCCTCTCAATATATAAACATGCTCAAGCCTCTTATCGCAAGGAAAACATTCCCTGGCCCGGCTAGGTGGCTCAGTTGGTTGGAGCAGCATCCCATATACCAAAATGTTGCAGGTTTGATTCCAATCAGGGCACAAACCTAGGGTGTAGGTTCCAACCAGTGTTTCTCTCTTCACATTAGTCTCTCTCTCTCTCCCTCCCTCCGCCCCTTCCTCTCTCTCTAAAATCAATAAAAACATGTCCTCAGTTGAAGATGAAAAAAAAAATAGAAAAACATCCCAACACAGCCCACTTCCTCAACCTGTCTTCCTCTAGCGCAGTGGTTCTCAACCTTCCTAATGCCGCAACCCTTTAATACAGTTCCTCATGTTGTGGTGACCCCCAGCCATAAAATTATTTTCATTGCTACTTCATAACTGTAATTTTGCTACTGTTATGAATCGTAATGTAAATATCTGATATGCAGGATGTATTTTCATTGTTACAAATTGAACATAAAGCATAGTGATTAATTACAAAAACAATATGTAATTATATATGTGTTTTCCGATGGTCTTATGTGACCCCTGTGAAAGGGTTGTTCGACCCCCAAAGGGGTCTCTACCCACAGGTTGAGAACCACTGCTCTAGCGAGTTCTCTCTTTCCCTTTCTTTGAAATCAAGCTTTTTTATGAGTTATCTTCCGTTCCTGTCTCTGCCTCACCTCTTGTTCACTTTGAATCGCTGCAGTCTGGCTTCCACTTCAAATAGCCAGGCCTAGGTGGTTGACAGTGTTAATTTCAGATGGATTATTAGTAAGCCCAAAGCCCTGAACTTTAAGGATTAGAGATGGAGGAATGAGAATAGAGAGAAATGGTAGTCATGGAGGTCTGTACTGGTAGCAGTATCAGGGGGTATCATTGTTCCTATCTAAAATGGATCAAGAAAAATAAGTGGGAGAGAAACCAAGATGGCGGCATAGGTAAACACCAGAGTTTGCTGCCTTGAACAGCCACTTCAAAAATACAACTAAAAGACAGAACGGACATCATCCAGAACCACAGGAAGGCTGGCTGAGTGGAAATTCCACAACTAGAAGGAAAGAGAAAAGCACACCGAGACTCAGAGGAGGCGCAGTGCGGAAGTAAAATACTAAGGTGCAGAGGTGCGTGCGGAGCGGGCTGGCGGCTGAGGTCGCGGTTGTCATTTTCAATCGGGAGGGAGTCTCAGGCTCTGAGCTGCAGTTCCGGGCGAGTCTCTAGGGACCCAGACTCATACAGGAGAAGCAGGACTGTCTGGCATTGGTCGGAACTCGAGGGCAGCTTTCTCTCGGAGGGGCTGGCAGGGATTTCCAGGATACTGAGAAGCAGAGACGCCATAACTGCTAGCCCTGCCCTGTTGATCCCCTTTGACCCGCCCCGCTCAAGCCCTGCAGGTAGGCTTTTGCTGGATAGCCTCAGGCAAAGGCCAGATTAGCACCTCCCTAGAGATCCAGGAGCCAGGAAACCCAGAGGTCAGAGTGGGACCATCCAGTTTGCAGCTCTGTGGAACCATAAAAGACACACTCGGGGCAGACTCAGTAAGCAGCAAAGCCCCATTGAAGCAAGTCTTGCCCCAGAAGGGTGTCTCCAGCACAGAAGTTCTCCCACTGCAGACACAGCTGAATCTCACAGCCAATTGGCCCGGAGGTCAATTCTTCTCAGTGATACCTACAACAATCAAGGCTTAACTACAACAAGACTGTGCACAAAGACCACAAGGGGGTGTACCAAGAGTGTCCTCCTCAGGTAATTGG